CCCCACTTTCCTCCCTCCTACCTTTTCAGAGAGTAGCTTCAAGGTATGAAGAGGTCTGGCACATGCCAGATCCTGGATCTGACTTTCATGTAATGTAACGCTCACAAACATGTAGCACTCCAGATCTACCATCCTACATGTCTGGTAAAAGTCAGTAGATGTTCTGGTTAGCTGTTAGTTTAAGTTAACTCATGTGGCTGACAGAAAGTCACTTCATTTTTATTTCTAGCATAGTAACAGGGAAGTGATGATAATGCCCATTTAACCTGTAAAATGACAATATCACAAAATGTGAAATTTGTATATTATTCCTTATCCTCCTCTGCATCTAAGTTAATCAGGATGGCTTTTATTTTACCAGTATTTATGAATGCATGTATGTGTACATGCATGTGGTTCTGGGAATGAACCAGGGCCTTGTGAGTGCTAAGCACACCCTTGATCACTGAGCTCCAGAACTGGCTTAGAAGTTGTTCTGAACATTTTACAGATAAGGCAACAGGCTTATGAAATTGAAGAAACTGCCAGTATCAGCAGTTGGTAATCCTGGTTCCTCTGGTTTCAGTGTTCCCTCCTTTTTTTAACTTTTGCCATTTGTTGGTCTATCACAGTCTAGCATGTCTGTGCTCATCATTCCTAACTTTGATATTTTTGTTGCTATTTCAGTTATGCTTGTTCCATTAGTGGGACTTTATTCATCTAATTTATTTGATACATGTTGTTGTTGGGTTTGGGGGAGCAGGACTAATAATAAAGACTAGCAACTTTTGTCTTGGTTTAACTTTCTTTTTAAACATAAGAAAACATATATTCACTGCAGAGGGACAAATGTTGCCCTAAAATAGAGATGTGTGAAATGCTCTGGAAGGTCAGAATATCTTCTTAGAGGAGGTTCCCCTGAGCCCAGCCCTTTTCTTGAATGAGGTTCCTCAAAAGCCCACACCTCTTCTTGGAGGAGATAACCTGTGGGGTACCCTGCTGATATCTCAGATCTTTCCTGAGCCCATCATCCAGGGTTGACTAGCTAACTGCATTACAGTCATTGCATGTGTTTTGTTTTCTAGCTTGTCCAGATTATCATCAATACAACACACTTGGAGAAGTCCTGTAAATACTTAGAAGAATTTATCACGAATATCACTAATGTGTTTCCAGAGACAGTCCACACCACCAAACTCTATGGCACCACGACTTTCAAGGTGAGAGCACATTGGCACAGATTGTACTTCTGTGGGCACAGGTGGTGAGTGCAGGTTGGGGCAGTCCACACATATGGTTTTGTTGCCAAGAGTATTTGTGACACTATAGTACATTCTTCAGAATAAGGGAATATTTGACTTAATCTCAATTTTTCTAGGAAAAAAAATTGAGATACTAGATTTGTGTGCATGTGTGTGTGTGTGTGTGTGTGTGTGTGTGTGGTTACAAAATCAAAACTTACAGACTTACAACTGCATTATCTTCTAGATAATGTGGTTAAGGCTGGCATAAATATCAACTGTAATTTCTTACTTAAAAAATCTTTCCTTTCCATGTCTAAAACTTTTAATTTTAAGTTTTGGTGAGGAATCCTTTGCCTTCCTAGTTAACCATGATCTAGTTTTCTTACAAGGTCACAGCATGTTTTTTCCAGTATTAGGTCAAGCAGGGAAAATGATACCTTTGTAGTGGTAGATGAGTTTCTGGAAGGTAAACATTCACCTTAGACAAGTACAGAGGGTCTTAATAAAGGACCTTTACATCGGCATGTGTACTTTACACAGGTGTCAATCAGAAAAATTTCTAGTTTTTAAGTGTTAAAAATCATGAATCTGGCATATGAACCTCCATAACCTTAGTTTTGTTGTTACTTGATGGTTTCAGTTATAAAACATGTTTTTTCCAAAATATGATGACAGATGTACCGTTAAAGATTTAAATCATGATTTATGTCCCCCATGCTCACCTTTCCCATCTTTGTTGGTGCCATCTCTCAAAAGTAGCCACCAAAGAAATCGAAGCTGACACATACTGTGATTATGTTGTCTGAGAGAGAGAGGAATTGTTGGAAGATCTTATATTTGCTATTAGAAGAAAACTGTTCAGTGTTGAATACAATAGTTCTTTCTATCTCTTTGATTAGATGAGCTACTAGACCAAGTTAAGTATTCACTAGATGATTCTGGATTGTTTTGAACTACCAATAATTGTTCAAAAGCAAAATTCATATCCCATCATATTAAGTTCATACCATTCCTTTCAAATTGTTCAGTGATAAACTGATTCCAGTAGCCTTTCATATCTTGTGAGGAATTGTTTCCATAGACTACAAAGGTACCAAATTTTGAAGATTTATGGGTCTCATATATGAAATGGTTGCTATGTTTGCTAACCTACACACATCATCCCAGATACTTTTAAAGCATCTCTAGATTGCTGCTTTGATGATGTAGATGGTATTATAGTTGTCACACTGTATTGTTTAGGGAATAGCAGCAAGAAAATAATTATGCAAGTTCAGTGTACATTCAGTTTTTTATCTTGAATATTTTCAAACTATATTTGGTTGAATCAGGGATGAGAAACCTATAGACATAGATAGCTGACTATGCATTAATATTGATGCCATTTTAGTAAATAAAATATTTATCTAATGAAAAGGCCCTCAGAAGATCAGTATGAAAATACACCAAGAGCTCTCAGAGCTTCAGAGTGACCTTAGGTAATTTAATAAGAATCAAAATTATTCTTTTAAAAACTTTTTATTATTTTTATTTTATGTGTATGTAACCTGCATGTTAAGTGCTCCTGTGTCATGCAGTGCTCATGGAGTTCAGAAAAGGGTGTCAGATTCCTGTGGAACTGGAGTTTTGGATGGTTGTTAGCTACCATGTTTGTGCTGGGAATTGAATTGGGGTCCTCTGTAAGTGTAGAGGCTGAGCTATCTCTCCACCTCCTCAAAATTATTCTTACAGAGGAGCATTCTTTTTTTTTTCCTTCCTTTTTTTTTGAGTTTTTCTTAAGAATCTGCTTTATGTAAACAATAACCACTTTTACCAAAGCGTTTTCACAGAAAAGGAGACAAGTCCTTCCCCAGTGTCACATGTGTGAATTCGTTCCTCCCTCGCCTCAATTTGGGGGGAGGCATAGTTGTGCAGGGCAGGCAGACAGGCCACTGGATGCCTTGAACACTGGCAGGTCTGAAAGCACAGCTACCCTGCAAACCTCACCCATGCTTATATCAGGTCTCCCTGTGTGGAGGAGGAAGACTTTCTACTCCTCAGACTCCCAAGAGTCCACAGAGGAGCATTCTTATGGAGCGCAATGACTTCACAGTTTGCTTCACTGTGAAAGCCAAACTTTGTTCCAAAAGAAAATATAGAAGTAACTACAGTTCAGTATTAGACAAAAAATAAGGTGTTACTGAATTATAGTATGAGACTCATGTATAATTTTCTATCATATGGAGAATTTTCATATGTACTCTCAGAAATCTGTTCAAGGATGTTTGTGTGTTGTGTTGCTACACTAGGGTTTTTTGTTGTTATTTGTTTTGTTTTTTGAGATGGCTTCCCTGTAGCCCCAGCTGGCCTAGAACTCAGAGAGATCACCCTTCCTCTGCCTCCCAAATGCTGGGATTAAAGGCATGCACCATCTTGGCTAGTTGTCCTAGCTTTTTGAAGGATTTTTTGTTTTTGAGATCCAGGTGACCCTAGAATTTACTAGGTAGTCCATGCACGCCTCAAACTTAAGGTAATCCTCCTGACTCTTGTCTTCTGAGTGCTGGGAGGACACGTATGAACCACCACACCAGCTTGTTCCAGCTAATTAGAATGCTGAGAAACAATGAAAGGCAGACTGAAGCCATAGGGGTTGAGCATCCAGCTAAATGCTTAGCAAAAGAAATAGTTCTGGACAACACTAAAGGTCATGTGGACAGTGCTTATTGGAAACACTGATTCCTTAAAACACATCCAAAGTTTTAGCAGGACAGTTTTAGCCTAGCTAACCCAAAACTCAATATAAACACGGCAATTATAACAGCTCTATGTTGTATGTTTTCCTAAGCTTCTGTTTTCAGGAAGCTTTCCCTTGCAAATGGAAACCTTTATGCTGAAAAAGGGGCAGACAAATTCAGAAGGTTTCAGGCATCTTCTGACCAAGTTCCCTCTTTCTTTTTCCATATATGACATAATCAACAGAGCATTCTTAGCTTCCTTGTTGATAATATTTTCCTCTTTCTTTAAAGGAGAACAAATATGTTTATCAATTTAGTCCATCATAAATACTGTTTATGTATCTTTTGTGTGACAATTTGGTAAATTTTGAAGAAGAAGAAAAAAATAGTCTCTCAGTTTAAGAGTTTCTTTGTAGTACAGGGAAGACAGACACTGTTAACTTCAGAAAAGAGCTTTAGAAAGTACTAGAATAATACATTAAATGTATTCAATCTTTCATCTATTCCGCAGGTTTTAATGAAGCATCTGCCATATAGCACGCATAGTTGTAAGTCTGAACACAATAAATATCTCTTGGGGCTGGAGAGATGGCTCAGTAGTTAAGAGCACTGACTGCTCTTACAGGGGACCCAGGTTTGATTCCCAGCACCCACATGGTGGCTAACAACCATACTTAACTCCAGTTCCAGGAGAATCCAGTGCCTTCTTCTGACTCCTCGGGAATTGTGTGACATGGGTACACTTATACACATGCAGGCAATACAGTCATACACAAAATAAAAATAATAAATAAAATATTAAAAATAAACGTCTCTTGACTTTACAAAGCTCATATTCTAATGAACTGAGAGATAATAAACAAATTTAGGTAATGATAAGAACTAGGGGGGAAAATGACCTAAAATGGGATTTTAAAATGAAATAATTTATATTTTTGGTAGATGGACATTCCTACCAAAGGGAATGGTAAGGTATTAGATACTAGCATGTTTAGGGAAGGTAAGGGGTCTGTCTGGTCAGCAGTGCTATAGCCATCTTTGGTAGAAATGTGAAGAGATGAGGTGGTGAGAGGGTCAGGTTATTTCTGGTCCTATGGGCACATAATAAATACTGTGGATTTTTTAAATTAATTAATTAATTAATTAATTAATTAATTAATTTTTATCTATTTTATGAGTGTTTTGCCTGCATGTATGTAAGTATACCCATGTCATGCAATGTCCTTAGAGGTCAGAAGAGGGTGTTGGATTCCCCTAGTTGTTAGCTTCCATGTAGATACTGGGAATTGAACCTGGGTCTTCTGCAAGAATAGCCAGTGCTCTTAACCACTAGTGGAGCCATCTCTCCAGCCCCAATACTGTGTTTTTTTCATTCTGAAATTAGATGTAATGTTTAGGTGATTTGGGGCCATGATGTGATGAACTGATTTATTTTTTAATGGATAATATTAGGTGTTATATTATTGTAAATTGGAAGTATGGAGGTTCAATTTGGAGGCTATTGCAATAGTTCAGATAAGCTCCATTGCTTTCAAAGATCCAATGAGAAAAATATATGAGTATTTGAAGTGATGCTAAAAAACAGCATTTTCTTTGCTAACATCTTTTCTTAATAAATTCTTTATAAGTTACAAATCCAGGAAGTGGAAATCAGTGAGGATATCAATGAACCGAATGGCACTATCAATCAACTGGATCCCACTGATATTTATAGGAGATATCCAACATTAGCAGAATACACATTCTTCCTATGCTCATACAGAACATTTGACCAAGACAGACCATGTTCCAGACCATCAAACACCCACTAGCAAAATTTACTGAAATGGAGATTAACTAAACCTGTTTTTAAACCAGAAAATGGCATCAGAAAATCCAGAAATATTTGTAGGTTAAAGAACCTGGTAACAGAGAACTTCCTAAGAAGAACTTAAAAATGTCGAAATTGAAGTGAATGTGAAAATGCAAGTTATCAAAACATGTGTGATGCAGGAAAAGCATTGTTTGAAGGGAGATTTGTAGCAGTAAAGATTTCTTAAAAGGGCTGGAGTGATGGCTCAGCAGTTAAAAGCATTTGCTGCTCTTGCAGAGGACCCAGGTTTGGTCCTCAACACTCATTTTGCATTTCATAACTCTCTGTAACATAGTTCAGGACATCCAATGTCCTCTTCTCACCTCTGTGGGCACTGCATGCACATGATGCATGTACATACATGCAGGAAAAATACTCATACACATAAAATAGAAATAAAATATTTTTAAAAGAAAAACAACCAATCAAATTCCATGCAAGAAAAAGAAATAAATAATTAAAACAAGGTCCAAAGTAAATGAAAGTAAAAACCAGTATTGCAAGTCAACAAATTCAAAAGCTAATTCTTAGCCTAAATAAATAAAATTTTGAATCAGGCTAACAATGGGAAAAGCATAAAAAGTACAAATTGCTAATACTAATATCTTAAAGGAAAACTAGCCTATTACTACTGATCTTACCCATGGTCATTAAAAGAATATTATGTAGAATTCTTTGAAAATCTACATGAAATATAGATCAACTCTAGACAGGGGAGGGTGTGTGTTTTATAACTTTCTGTTTTCATCACAGAATACCTGATATAATCATCTTACATGCATGCAGGCATAACACTCATACACATAAAAAAGATAAAATGTTTTTTAAAGTGAATAGAGGATCTTAATAGACATTCATGTCGATGAAACATGAAGATGGCCACAATCTATGAAAAAATGTTTAACCAATCTGATTGAGAAATGAAAATGAAAACTTCAGTGAAATACCACTTTTTACCTGGTAGAATGTCTGTGATGAATAATACAAATAATTGGAATATTCATGAGGTTGCTCACTGAGGAGGAAAGGTAAAGTACAGCTATTGTGGAAAGGAGTCTGAAGACTCTTCAGAAAGCTTGAAGTAGAGCTCCTGTGTGATCGGTACACTCCCATCGCTTGTGTATATGTCAAGTTCATTGCAACACTGATCATCATTGCCAAGATAGAGAATCAACTTGCATATCTGTCAGTGGATGAGTGATTAAAGAAAGTGTGGTATAGAAACACAATCAAGTACTTGATACGGCATTAAGAAAGAAGGAATTCTTGTTATTTTTTTGGCATCTTGGATGATCCTTGAAGACATTTTGTTAAGTAAAATAATGCAAACACAGAAAAATAGATACCTTATAATCTGTTACATGTGGATTCTAAAAATGTGCTCATAGCAGTAGAGAACAGAGCATGGGCGCTGAGGACTGTGGTGGTGGTTAAGGAGTTTTGGTCAAAGCATTCAAGATTTGGGGAGGAATTAGTTCAAAAGGCCATTGTACAGCATGGTCACTGTACTTAATAAGTATATTGTGTTCTTGATGGTTTCTGGTAGAATAAATTTAAACATTTTTTAACCCCAAAATAGCAAATATTAAAGATAATGCATATTATAATGACCTTGATTTATGAGTGTTAATGAACTTGTGTTAAGTCCCGTTAAGCCATTTACAATGCATAGAGCATTCAAAATGTCTTGTTGAACATGAAAATATGTATGATTGTGTCAATTAATAAATTCAAAACATTGTTTATATAACCATTGTTTGACTGTATTATAGACTGAAAAATCATTCAGAATTTAAATAAATGAAAATATAGAAAGGTTAGTAAGTTAAAGACAAATTTAGCAGTCAGTATGTACAGGTCTGTGTTTCTGACTGGGAAGAAATGTTTCTGTTGTGTCTTTTAGTTTTCTGCTTTAGTCTGACATGAACAGGTTAAGTATATAGAATATTACGAATCTGATCCTCGGTCTTCTGCCTTCAAAGTTTCTGGGGGTCAGAGATGTCCATGAATCAGACACATAGTTCTTGAGGTCGGATGTATTTGGAGTAGATCTGTTTTGAAGACAGAGATCTGGAAATCATAGGAAATAATTAAATCACCCAGAGAAATTGAGATTTGAGACCAGAATGAAAGAAAGTTGTGAGTCAGCTATACACTGGAGGTAGAGGGAAGTAGTGATAAGTGTTTTTAGAGATCAAGCAACTGGGACTGAATGATGAACAGCAGATGTGGTAGCATGGCATGATGCTATTCATTTGTCCTGAAGGTACTTTTCTGGAAAAATAAATGAAACAACACTAACTAGAGCTTTAATATTGTAGTGTGTAACGTGAATCTCTTAGAGTAGTACATGGCTTATGTGATATAGGAACTGTTGGGTGCGTTTTTCTCGTCTTTTAGGATTATTGCTGCATAGAACACATTTTGTGGAACATGTCTATCAGCCCTTGAAAGAATCTGTTGGTGAAGAAAATAGAGAGCTCTGACAGTAACCAGTAAGAATAGATATGGGTAAACTCAAATTTGTAAGCAACTGAAGGAACTGGAGCATGTAGGAAGCTTGAGAATGTAGAAAGAAACCTTCTTGGAACCTGTAAGAGTCCAATTTGAATAGAATTCCAAGAGTCAGTTCACTTTTGAACAGAGATAAGGAAATAGATTGTCAAAGCCAGTGAATGTGCTTTCCTCATTTAGTGACACCAAATAATAGCTTTTCTTGCACATCAGTCAGCCAGCCAACACACACACACACACACACACACACACACACAC